CCTAGCTATGGGCCCATGAGGATTCTTAATGTAACACTTGTTTGGGCTGGTTTAGAGATGCGTGTTCCTGCTCTGAGCATGGGGTGGGACTAGATGACCTCCTGAGATCCCTCCCAGCCTTATTTTTCTATGATGGATGTTCTATCTCCAGCCTGGCAGGGATTCCCTATTACTTATACCAGCCAAACAATTAACCTGGGATTAAACAGAGCTGCATTTTTTGTGTGTGATGGTTCTCAGTACTTATCATCTGCCCAAGCTGAGAAGTTGCAGGGAAGTTGCTATCTATCAGCAGCTGTGTCATGGTGCTGTAGTGAATAGGATCCCCAGGGGGAGGGAGGGGGGCAGAAGATTTTGGAAATCAAATAGAAAATTTAAAATAATCCACATACCTATAAAAAGCTGATGCACACGAAAAAGGGGTGCTGTGCACACATCACCCAGAAGCAGCCTTTGTGCCATGTCATCTCTGCCTTTGCTTTTATTTAATCTTACTTATTTAAAGGTAAATAAAAAAAATCCAAGGACTACAGCTAGTAGTTGCCTGCTTCTCTGCCTGTCTGCTTTTGCAGGGCTGCTGGGAGTTTTTAAGCTGTGTGAGAATCCTGGGAGTTGGTGATGTCAGACTGGTTGGGTCATTTGAAGGTTAGCAGCCTGGGAAGGGTTCATAGAAAGTTCACTCGCATATATTAGGCAATTCAATCTTTCATTCTGTGTGACACAAGTAGTAGGAAGTGAGCTGTTCAGAGGCAGAAGGATCTATTCATTCCTGAGGGGGATCCTGAGTTCCTATCAAAGCAGTTTCATTCCTGGGACTTGGGTGAAATGTGTGAGGTGCAAAAGATTGTATATTCGGCAGCAGCCTAAGATGCAGGACTGATTCTGAAGGATTTCTGCAAAAAAATGACTGGAACTGAAACTTGGAGGGCGGCTTGGTTCCCCCTGTCTTGCTGGATTGGCTGAGCAGCCTGGAAAATGGTAAATGATCATTTGGATCAATTACAGGCTTTTAGCTGTGTTGTCTGTCATAATTCATGATTCTGGTCTGGGAAAAAGACCAACAGCCTACGTGCCAAAAAAGGGGCAGAGTTTGATGGAGTTGGGTGTACTTTTATATGCCATTTTCCTCCACACTTAGAGAAAAGCACTTTTGCAGGCATTCTGTAGAGGGGGAATCATGTTTGACTGTATGGATGTGCTAGCAGTGAGTCCTGGTCAAATGCTGGATTTCTACACTGCGAGTCCGTCTTCCTGCATGCTCCAGGAGAAGGCTCTGAAAGCATGCTTCAGTGGATTGGCACAAACAGAGTGGCAACACCGGCACAGTGCTCAATGTAGGTCCCATTCTTATTTTTTCTAGTTCAAAAATATCTATATAGATATCTATATTTGCATGTATTACAATCCTTTTGATTAGGTTCAGTGGGAAAAGGGGGGCTTTTGGTATGTGAAATGTGGCTGTGCAAGCATTTTTTGGGGGGAAGGAGGTTGTGCTTTTCCCTTTTTACGCAGTGTATCAGCGCTTAAAACAGTTTTGCAGTTAAGCAGAAACACTCATAATTATAAGAGAGTAAAGCACTTTTTAAACTCTAACCACTGAAGAAGAAATTTGCATAATATCTCTGCTGTAGTTTTTTTTTTTCCTGTGCCTCCCTTAATTGAATTTCCCATCACATCTGATAATCCAGTTGCATATTTTTCTCATGTGCATTTCAGCTGTGCAGCCATGCAATTAAAATGCCATTTCGTACAGTTCTTATAAAGACTTTAAACTGTATGATGTTGGTGCTGATCTCAGAATCAGGCAGTAGTTTTAGGCTTCTCTTAATGTTTCCCTCCCAAAGAAAAGGCAATATTTCTTTGTACTGACCTTTCTGCCACCTGTCTTCTTTACTTTGTTTCTATAAGAGTTGCTGTTTTGCTAGAAAACTACTAACTGTGAACACCCCTTGTGTTTAACCATCAATTATTTCCATACCTTCAGGTTTAGTCAAAGTCTCAGACTAGCAGGAGAGGAAGCAGAGTTACTGGTAATGTAGTTTAAAAAATGTGCTATTCTGTTATCTGATCTTGACATGGTTCTTAGGAACGTAGACGGTAAACAGTGGCAGTGTTTTAACACCATAGTTTCAAGTTTGAGAAATGACAAGAAGTACCAGAAAGCATCACCTTATACTGTGCATAAAAGAGCTAGCAGGATGCTCCACTGCTCTGATGTTGATTTAGATAAATTACTTAGCTATCTATCAAAATGTTTTTAGCACACTCTTTGACACTTCAGTGCAGCATTAGCTGTACAATGATTGAAATTTCTGTTTTTCAAAGAGGTCAGAGTTACATAAGAATAAATGTAGCTTTCCTATTGGTATGGTTTATCCAAAGAGAAAAAAAAACCTGCCCCTGTGTCTGGTGAATTATTTTCTTTATCACTCTCACTGAAACTTTTTCATCAGACTACTGCATCAGGGTGAGTAAACCAATAAGAATAGCATTGTAAAAGCCAGTGACTACTGCCTTACAACATTATAAATATTTAATATCTTTGCATTTAAGAGAATTTGACTGGAAAAAAAATCAACGTTGTAGATTTTTCCCTGGTCATTTTCAAAATATTTCTATATTTGAGATGCTAAGATGTGAAAGAAAACCTGTCCCTTTTAGGCAATACTGTTTATTATGAAAATAGTTTAGCAACGAAACTTGAGGTGTTACAATGAAAATATGTTTTCTTTTTACTATGATTAAAACTTTAACATGAGTTTAACTATATGGTACTTAAAAGGGGCTTTTCATCTAAGCAACTTTCCTTCATTAGTATACAAATTCCATAATATAATAACTTGCACAGGAAAAATAGTTTAGTCAGTTTCTGATCCTTTTTAAATATAGGATTTTTTAGGTGAAACTTTGCTTGTATGCACTTTCCCATGCTTTGTTGCTAACTAGAAACATGCTTCTTAAAAAATGAAAAATGTTGTGCTTGTTCTTGGACAAGTTAAACATAGGATTACCCTTATCAGAATGGAACTAGTGGTAAATATGTCATTTGCCTAGGGCCTGAGATAAGAGACAAGTGTTGATAACAGTAAAGTTGAACTAATCGAAAAAACTCATATTAACAAGAGTAAATAAAGAAATACGGAAAAGTGCCTTCAGGAATTCAGTCTTGTAATTTTGTAGGTAATACAATTAAACTTTACTGCAGGGCAACTTAAAATCAGGCTGAACCTGAATTATAATTTGATTGGCTGTAATTCAAACTGTGAATATTAACAACATATAGAGTAAAGCCGTTTACTTTTTTACTTTCTAAATAGTTTTCAGTTTATTTTATGTAGCTAACTCATTTTTTTCAATTTTGAAAAAATGAGTAAGCACTGTAACCGTGTGTCTGCGTAAATGGAACACAGTTTAAAATAATGAAATTTTATTGGCATATTAATCACTTTATCTCATACCTCATGTAGGTGGTGACAAAGAACAGATTTTTGTTACACAGGGCAGAATAACTTAAAATTTGCTCCAGTGCCATAAATAACAGTGTTTAATTTTAACCACAGGTATTTCCCAGTTCACTTTCCTATTTAGACCTCTGTGGTTTAGTGTACAGTAATCATAGCTAAGATTCAAAAGTCTTAGGCACTTGGTAGGTAGTGGGTCTCGAGGTGAGGGGGCTGTGTGTGGGTTTGTTTTGTTTAAATTTGTTTTAGCTCAGCCACATAAATGATACACCTGCAGCAATTGATTTAGGCTTTGCACATTCTTCTCTGATAGAGATGGGGAGTCTGGAATAACAATTAAATTGATGTTAAGGGAATACTGCATGCATACTGGAGACTCAGAGCAGCCCAATAACAATCCTGAACAGCATCAATGCTTCTACTAAGATTCTGGTATAATGGATCATTGCTGCACTGAATTCAGAATACTGTCTCCAACTTCAGCCCATCAATCCCATTCCAGTTCATTGTGCAAAATGCAATCCTGTGATTTTATGAATTTTCCTAGACTATGGAGACTATGCAAGCTGAAATGGAAGGTAGGATACAGTTCAAATGTAACTGCACTTTATGCATTTCTGATTCAGTTAGTCTATAAGGTGCATCTCTACCCTGCCTTCTGCCTGAATTCAGACTAACATGGCTAACTACATCTCTTTTATTTTTCCCTTCGGTCTCTCACAACTGGGCGGATTTGTAGCCCAGTCTTGAACTTTACATTATGTGATATAAACTGTGTGCGCATACATGTACATGTATTTCATGTGGAATTAATTACTGTTATGGATGTTAATACTGCTATTAAAGAGAAGAAATAGTTCACTTACGAAAGAAGTAATGGACTCAAAGAACAGGACTAAAACGGACTGACGTTTTAAATGCAACTTGTAAACACTATTAACTCTTGCGTAATTTGGTTCAGTAGATTTGAAAAAAAGGAGGCTGAAATTAAGATAACAAGGATACCTGATTTATATTTTTAAACAGGATATAATTTCTTCTTCCTTGTTGCATAGCTGCTACCTCCTAAAAATGAATAGGGATTGAGTAATGTCCATTGCAATGTAAGTCAGGATACAAGAGAAAGCCAGATGTGAGGAATAATAGATTTACTTCTGTCCTAGAAATTCCTTTATAAATGTGTGCGTATAATTTCTTTAACAGGAATCCTAAATAAGGTAGCCCACAAACTGGAATAATTTGAATATTCATGTAAGGCAGGGTTTCAGGAAGTAACATCCCTTTGAAAAATATAGCATATTTTTCACCATTTACAAAAATAAATTTGATATAGCTCAAAGGTATGAGTGTCCTTGAAATCAGTATATACAGTTGGTGTAAGCCAAGTAGTATATAGTCCTTAATCAAGGAAAAGTCCAAATGGGCTTTGGTGGGAGATTTGGCTGGATAAGACCTGGTGAATGACAGCCTTTGGAAATCTTATTAAAAACAAAACCCAGAAGGCTGAATTTTGCTTCTAAATTCTAGGTTTCTTTTAACGTGTAGACTGAGGAAGTTCTTGTTCTCTGGAGGCTCTGGGAGTCCTAGAAAACATCTGTGTCCAACCAAAAACTGTGCTCTATTTTCTTTCATTTTTCTGAATTGATAAACAAACATTTTGAAGTGCAGGACTTGAAATCTGCATTCCAGAGTATCAAATGGCTGCAGGTGTGTTTGGTAATCACATGTTCGTGTCACGGAAGGCAAGATCTATTCAAAACAAGTTATTTTCTTTCAAGTTTGTTATAAATTGTACTGCTAGATGATTAGGAAGGAGTTGTTGAAAGTTGCATACTTTACTTAAAATATCTGTGCTTGATCTCCTGAAGTGTAGCCAATAAAAAAGACAGCCAGTGAAAACACAGTAAAATGTACTGAAATCTGTCATGGCTTTCTGCGACTATCACTATTTGGGTCAAAATAAATTTCTTCTGAGGCTCTGCATTATGCTGCCTTCTTTGCCTTCTCTTTAAAAGGCATGACATGAGTATTTTTTTAACAAATGAATTGAAACTAGAGAGCTAATTCTGTATTTTAGTGTCTGATGCATT